GGGTTGTGGCTGTTCCCTCCCTTTGCTGAAGTAAAGCTTCCTAAGCTGCAAAAACGGGGCAAAACCATTGAAAATCGGGAAAAAAATGGAGTTTTGGGGGTGTTCTCCCTCCCAAAATTCCGATTTTTTTTTCGTTTTTTAGGTTTTTTTGGTTGGTTTTTGGTTGTGTGTGAGAAAAGGGGGGTGAAGCCCAGTGGTAGCATTTCCCTGTCACGATAAATTCAAGGTTATCAAAGGCTCCAGGACACTCCCGAATTCCCCAAAACCGCCCTGAAATCCCCCCTCAAAAAATCCCACAAAAAAAAAAAAAAAAAGGCAAGAAAAAGGAACAGAGAAAATAACAAAAATCCTGTGGAAAAAAGGGGTAAAAATGAGGATTTTGTGGGTCCTGCGGGTGAAAGGGGGGGTTAAAAAAGGGATTTTAGGGAACAAAAAGGGATTTGGAGGGGTGAAAAATGGAATTTTAAAGGGGGGGGCCCACAGTGGGAGGGGCATCAACAACGAGGCCTCGGCGCCATTTTAGAGCTGAGAAAAAAAACCCCAAATTCGGGGGTTTTAAAGGAATTTTTAGGCATTTTTGAGGAATTTTTGGGGGTTTAAAAAGCGCGGGGCGGGGGGGGACACACACAGACACAAGCGACAAAGAGAAACGCGTTAAACCCCTTTTCCCCCCAAAAAAATCCTAAAAAACCCCAGGATTTGGGGTTAAACCCCCCTAAAATTAAGGAATTAAAAGCGGGGGGGGTTTAAGAAATAACCAAGGGGGGGTCAGAGCTGGAATAAAAACGCCCAAAGCCGCGGAATAACGAGGGAAAAAACCGCGGATTCGGGGCAAACAAAGCGCGGCCGCCATTTTGGAGCTGCCCTAGAAAGGCTCTGAGGGGAAGGGGGGGGGTGAAACGCTTTAAAGTGAATTTCTGAGGGAAAAAATGCAGAATTTGGGCAAAGCTCGGCCTGCCTAGCAATCTTTATTGCTAGATTGCGATCCCCCCGACCGGAATTTCACCCGAATCCCAAAAATTCCCCACCGAAAAGCCCAAATTTTCCCCTTCCCTCACCACCAACCCCCCCCCCCCCCCCCACCCCGCGTTTCTCAGCGCAAAAAACAATCCTAAAATGGCACCTAAAAAATAAAAATAGGAAAGAAATCAGCTTGTTTTTTTTGTAATTTCCAACCTTCCCCACCCCAGCCCCGCGCGGTTTTTTCCTCCCTTTCCCCCCCCTTATTTTCTTTTTGATTTTTTTGCTATTTTTTTTGCAATCTTTATGTACAGATTGCTCGCCGGGAATGCCCCGAAAATTCCATAAATTCCGTCTCCCCCACCGCGCGATTTTTTTTCTTTTTCGGGTTTTTTGGGGCCATTTTCCAGCTTTTTTTGGGAGGTTTGGGTTTTGGGGGTTTTTTTTTGCGGGATTTTTGTTTTTTTTTAAACCGGGGGAGCTGCTCGTGGACCCCTCCTCCTCCTCCGAAACCGCTCTTTTCTCCCGAAATCCCCCCAAAATTTCCATTTTCACCACCTTTAGGCACAGCCCACGTCCTCCTCAAGCACACGGGGGGGCTCTTCCTCCCATTATTTTTGCTCTTTGTGACAAATAACTTTTTAAAGGGCTTTTTTCTTGTATTTTTTAAAGGGTAAAGGGGGGAGCCTGCTGAAAATTCAACACTTACTATCCAATTTTTTTTCTCAGCCGACAGCGCTTCAAGGTTTGGATTTTGGCATTTGGAGGTGGTGTTAGAGCCAAAAAATTCGTTTGATTTTAATCATGGCTTTAAAAAAAACGCAGCAACTTTTTTTTTGCAGCTTGACGGGTATTTTGGGTATTTTTTTAAAGGTTTTTTGTCCCTTGGGTTTTGTTTGTTTTTTAAAGCCCTAAAGGAGTGGATCGAGCTAAACTGAAAACCAAAAAAAAAAAATAGTAATAAAAAAAAAAGTTGCTTGGTTTTTTTTTTTTTCTGCTCGAAAAAAAAGTGGGTTTTGCCTTTGTTTTTTTGGGGGAAAGAAGAGGGAAATATGTTTTTTAAAGTGGCAGTTTCCTTCGGGTTTGGAACGGCTTCCAAGGACGGTCCAAAGGACGGAGAGGCTGCGGCGGCTCTTCACGGCAAAGGGGGAGAGAAAACCTGGTTTTTTCCTTCCCCTCTTTGTTGTATATTTATATATTTTGTTGTTTTGTTCGCGTTTTGTATTGTATTTTGTATTGTTTGTATTGGTTTTTTCTCTCGTGGTAAAGGCGACGGCGTCTCTCAAGACCAACCAAACCTGGAGCGGGGGAAAGGAAAAATAAAAGGGGGGGGGAAGGTGGGGGATGGGCATAACGATAAAAAAAAAGAGAAAAAATTGAAAAAAAGATATTAGAAGCGAAGAAGAAAAGACACGAAACGATTAGAAGCTGTTATCCCCGGGGAGAATTTAGAGCTTTAAAAGGGGGAAAAAAGAAAAAAAAAATAACGAGGAAACGCCCTTGGAAGGGGGGGGGGGGGGCTCAGCCTTGAGGGAACGTGAGGGCGGCGGCTGCCCCGGAGGGGCTCTGGGACGGGATAAGCCGCGTTTTTCCCCACGTAAACGATGTTTGGCGTTGCAAGAGCCCCCCCAAAGCCAAAAAAAAAGGGGAAAAATCCCCCGCGCCCCCTTCCCCGCCCGCAAAGCCCCGGCCCAGCGCAGCTCTCTACTCACCTCCACCAGCCCTCAGAATGGCGGCGGCAACGCCGGGAGCGGCTTTTTATACCAGGCAACGCCCAGATATTCGCCACGCCCCCCGGCGCGCGCCGGCCACGCCTCCCGGCCGTTGAGCGGCCAAACGGCGCCTGCGCGGACGCAAGACCGCGCACGCGCGGCCGCCGCCCGCCATTGTCCGCGGGCCGTGTGGCGCAGTTTTAATTCGGGGAGGGCGAGGGGAGCGCGCTGCGCATGCGCGGCAGTCTGAAGGAGAGGGGCGTGGCCACGCGGCAAAGATGGCGGCGCCCCGCCCCGCCGTGAGGGAGAGGCGCGGGGCGGGGCGTGAGGGAGAGGCGGGAAGATGGCGTTGGCCTGGGCGGCGGTGGCGCTGAGGGCAGCGGGCGGCGTGAGGAACCTGCGGTGGGCTCAAGTGAGGACGGGGAGCGGAGGGAGGGGGTACCGGGAATTTGGGGCAAGGGGGAAAGAAAACCGGGACGTGAGGGGGGAAAGGGCAGCGCGCGCCACGTGCGGCGGGCGGGGCGGGGCCGGGCGAGTGACGTCACGGGATTTTATTTCTCCGCTAGGGGGCGCGCGGGTGCGTCACGGGGGGCGTGGCTTTTCCTAAGACGTTACGTCATTGTCCGCATTGTGATGACGTCACATCACGCTTTTGCTTTGTTTTAGTGACGTCACGTAGAGCATCGCCCCTTCTGAGGTCGCTGCCGAGGGTCGGGCAATGAGAGGGAAGGGAGGGGCCAGCCCGTGTGTGATGTCATCGCTCTGATGACATGTATGACGTCATTACCCTTCCCACAGGCCCTCCCCGCCTCTGCAGCACCCAGGAGACCCCCAAGGAGACCCCCAAGGACCCCCCGGCCGCCCCCTCCCCCTACCAGGAGCGGCCCTGGGAGTACCTGGAGAGCGAAGGTTGGTTTGTGGGGTGGTGAGGAGGGGAATTTTGGGGCAATTTTGGAGTCCCCAAAACCCCTCCAAATCCCCCAAAATGTCCCCACACAGAGTACAGGGCCACCTACGGGGACAGGCCGGTGTGGCACGGCTACCGGCGCAACCACAAGGGCTCCGTGCCCCCCCAGAGCCCCCGCAAGGCCTGCCTGGTGAGCACTGGAGCACTGGGAGGCACTGGGAGAGAATTGAGGGCATTTTGGGGGCTCTTGAGGCACCTCAGGTTCCATTTTGGGGGGCATCTTGTGGACAATGCAGGGCTCTCAATGGCACTTTGGGGGACGCTGGGATAGTTTGGGGGTTACTGGGAGGTTTTGGGGTTACTGGGAGGCACTGGGAGGTTTTGGTGGTCACTGGGACTGACTGGGACTGCCCATTTCCTTCCCCCAGCGCCGGGGGAGGCCTGTGGGGAACCCCTGCCCCATCTGCCGGGACCGGAACTTGCTCGTGGATTTTCGGGTGAGTTTGGGAGCTTTTGGGGAAATCTGTGGGACTGTACTGGTCCCTGCTCCTGCTCTTCCTTCTTCTCTCCTTTTCCTTCTTTCTTACTCTTTTTCCATTTTATTTATCTTTTCTTCCTTTCGTTTCCTCCTTTTTTTCCTTCTCTTCTCCATATTTACTCTCTTTTTTTCTCTTTTCTACTCATTTCATCTCTTTCTTACCCCTTTCACCTTTTTTTTACCCATTTTGCCTCTGTTTTACCCGTTTCACCTCTGTATTTACCCGATTTTACCTCTTTTTTACCCATTTAATCTCTTTTTCACTCTTTTTTTTCCCCTTTCCAGAATGTGAAGCTTCTTGACCAGTTCATCTGCCCCCACTCCGGCGTCATCTTCCACCCCATCCACACAGGTGAGGGCACACCTGAGGGTCACCTTTATGTCCTTGAAGTCACCTTTGTGTCCTTGGTGCCACCTCCGTGTGTCCTTTGTCCCTTTTCCCCTCAGGGATCTGCATGAAGCAGCACAAACGCCTCTCCCAGGCCATCGCCCAGGCCCAGGACCACGGTAAACCCTAAACCCCGAATTTTAACCATTCCCAACCCTGCTGGGTGCCCCCCAAACCCCTCAATCCCCCCTCCCCAGGTCTCCTGTGGCTCCAGGTCCCTTTTGTGCCGGTTCCTGAGGAGGATTTCTCCAACCAACACGCGGCCGTGGGCAAAACTCCCCCGGCGCCGGCGCTGAGGGAGCCGGGCAAGGCCTGGTACCCCTGGTACGAGTGGCAGCAGCCCCCCGCCGACGAGGTGGCTCGGATGCGCCATTTGTACCGGGGATTCCTTAAGGAGGATTACCCGGATACCCCCCCGAGCCCGTCGGGGAAATAAAAATGTTGAAAATCCCCTAAAATTGCCGTTTTTCTTGGCGTCAGGGAAACTGAGGCACCAGGCCAAAATGGCGGACGGGGCCGAAAAGAGGCGGCGCGCGGAAGGGGAGTATATCCCACAATGCTTTGCGGGAAGGGGGGATGCTTCCCTTCATGCTTTGCTGTGGCGCGAAAATCCGGTTGCTCAGGAGGGCGGGGCTTGGTTGCTAAGGGCGGGAGAAGGGGCGGTAGCGATTGGGCGAGCAGGTGCCAGGGGTGGAGCTTAGTCCAGGAGAAAATACACGATTGGTTGAGGGGTTGCTAGGGGCGGGGTTTGATGTCTGACAACGGAAGCGATTTGGCGGCGGTTGCTATGGGTGGGGTTTGATTGCTGAGGGCAGCTGCCATTGGTAAGCGGTTGCCATGGGCGGGACTTGGTTGCTAAGAGCTGTCAAACGGTCAGCAGCGATTGGCTGACGGTTGCTAAGGGCGGTACTTGGTTGCTACAGACGGGTGCGGCCGCAGCAACGATTGGCTGGCGGTTACTAAAGGCGGGACTCCGTTGTTAAGCACGGAAAAATCCAGCGCACCGATTGGCCGGCGCTTGGCGGGCCGTACCACGATTGGCTGATTCCTCCCCGCGGGGGGCGTGGTTTCTTTGCCGCCCGGGCGCGGCCGTGGCGGTGGCGGCCGGGCCGGGCCCGGCGGGCGGAGGCGGCGGTGGTGCCGAGCCGGGCCCGGGGCTCGGAGCCCGCAACTCCATCATGGAGTTCCCTTTCGACCTGGCCCCGGTGCTGGGCGATCGTTTCTGCGTGGTGGATCAGCACCTGCGGCCCGCGGGGCGCCCCGGCGGCACCGTCAAACGGTACCGGGAATGGGCGCGGGGCAGGACGGGAAGGGGTCGCGGGGCATGCCGGGAAACTGGCGGACCCCGCTTTTTTGGGGGATTTTGGAGGGATTTGGAGATTTTGTGAGGGGGGTCTCAATGGCTCCTCTCGGTCTCCCTTGTCTCAGGGAGGAGCTGGCGGACCCCGCTTTTTTGGGGTTTTTGGGGGATTTTGGGGTTTTTGTGAGGGGAAAGTCGGGTCCCAATGGATCCTCTCGGTATCCCCTGTCTCAGGGAGGAGCTGGCAGACCCAGCTTTTTTGGGGTTTTTGGGGTTTTTGTGAGGGGAAAGTGGGGTCCCAATGGCTCCTCTCGGTGTCCCCCGGCTCAGGGAGGAGCTGGAGCAGCAGCTGAGGACGGTGATCGATGAACTGGGCAAGGCCTCGGCCAAGGTGGGGGCACTGGGGGGGTCACTGAGGGGAATTGGGGCTCATTTGGGACAATGGGAGGTCACAGGGGGGTCCCAAGGGGAATTTGGGGTGGTCTGAGGGGAATTGGGGGTTCCCAGAGGGAAACTGGGGGGGGCCTAGGGGGGAAATTTGGGGTCACAAAGGGAAATTGGGGGTCCAAGAGGGAAATTTGGGGTTCCAGGGGGAAATTGGGGGGTCCAGAGGGAAGTTCGGGGGGTCTTAGGAGGAACTGGGGGTCTGAGGGGGGAATTGGGGGGTGCCAGGGGGAAACTGGGGGATCCCAGAGGGAAATTGGGGGATCTGAGGGGAAACTGGGGGGGTTCCAAGGGGAATTGGGGGGTCCCAGAGGGAAATTTGGGGTCACAAAGGGAAACTGGGGAGGTCTGAGGGGAAACTGGGGGGCCCAGGGAGGAATTGAGGGGTCCCAGGGGGAACTGGGGGGTCCCAGATGGAATTGGGGGGGTCCCAGATGGAATTTGGGGGTCATGGGGGGTCCCAGAGGGAATTGGGGGGTCCCAGAGGGAATTTGGGGGGTCCCAAATGGAATTTGGGGGTCATGGGGGGTCCCGTGTGCCCCCAGGCAGGCCCAGGGCCTCTCCACCCCCGTGACGAGCGCGGCGCGAATGGAGAGCAACAGGCACGTGCTGTACATCCTCAGGGACACCCGGTGAGAGCCCCAAAATCCCCCCAAAATATCCCCAAAATATCCTCAAAATATCCCCAAAATCACCCCCAAAATATCCCCAAAATATCCTCAAAATATCCCCCAAATCACCCCCAAAATATCCCTAAAATATCCCCAAAATCACCCCCAAAATACCCTAAAATATCCTCAAAATATCCCAAAAACTCCCCCAAATTTTCCCCCAAAACCCCCAAATTTATCCCAAATTTCCCCTAATTCCCCCCAAATTTTCCCCCAAATCCCCCCTTAAATTCCCCCTTAAATTCCCCTAACTTTCCAAAATCATCCCAAATTCCCCCCATATTGCCCCAAATTTACCCCAAACCCCCCTCAAATCCCCCCAAATTTTCCCCCAAGTCCCCCCTTAAATTCCCCAAATTTACCCCAAATTTACCCCAAATTTTTCCCAAATTTCCCCCAAATTTTTCCCAAATTTACCCCAAATTTCTCCCAAATTTCTCCCAAATTCCTCCCAAATTTTCCCAAATCCCTCAGGTGCCCCCGGGGTGCAGTGCTGGGGTTCCTCAAGGTGGGATACAAGAAACTCTTCCTGCTGGTGAGAGCTGGGATTTGGGGTTTTTTGGGGCTTTTTGGGGATTTTTGGGGTTTTTTGGGGATTTGGGGTGAAATCTGGGGGGTTTGGGGTGGGACTTTGGGATTTTTTGGGGGAAATTTGGGGATTTTGGGGGGGAAATTTGGGGATTTGGGGTCCCAGGCCCAGGGGAGTTTTGGGTGGATCCTGTGGGATTTGGGGTCTGAATCCCTGGGGATTTGGGGGGAAATTTGGGGAATTTGGGGTCTGAATCCGGGGGATTTGGGGTCCCAGTCCCAGGGGACTTTTGGGGTGAAATCTGCAGGATTTGGGGTCTTAATACCTGGGGGATTTGGGGTGAAATTTGGGGGATTGGGGGTGGATCCTGTGGGATTTGGGGTTTTTAATCCCTGAGGGATTTGGGGTGAAATCTGGGGGATTTGGGGCCTCAATCCCTGTGGGATTTGGGTGAAATCTGGGGAAATTTGGGTCTGAATCCCTGTGGGATTTGGGGTGAAATCTGGGGAAATTGGGGCCTCAATCCCTGGGGGATTTGGGGTGAAATCTGGGGGATTTGGGGTCTGAATCCTTGTGGGATTTTTGGGTGAAATCTGGGGAAATTGGGGCCTCAGTCTCTGTGGGATTTGGGGTGAAATCTGTGGGATTTGGGGTCTGAATCCCTGTGGGATTTGGGGTGAAATCTGGGGGATTTGGGGTCTGAATCCTTGTGGGATTTTTTGGGGTGAAATCTGGGAAATTGGGGCCTCAATCTCTGTGGGATTTGGGTGGATCCTGAGGGATTTGGGGTGAAATCTGGGGGATTTGGGGCCTCAATCCCTGTGGGATTTGGGGTGAAATCTGGGGGATTTGGGATGGATCCTGTGGGATTTGGGGTTTTTAATCCCTGAGGGTTTTGGGGTGAAATCTGTGGGATTTGGGGTGGATCCTGTGGGTTTTGGGGTGAAATCTGGGGGATTTGGGGTGGATCCTGTGGGATTTGGGGTGGAATTTGGGTCCCAATCCAAGGGGAATTTTAGGGTGGATCCCAGGGGCATTTTGGGGTAGAATTTGGGGATTTTGGGCCTGAATTTTTTGGGATTTTGGGGTGGAATTTTGGATTTTTTGGGGTTTCCAGGAGCGGGACGGGTCCCACGTGGAGGTGGAGCCTCTCTGTGTTTTGGATTTGGGCTGGAATTTGGGGATTTTGGGCCAGAATTTTTTGGGATTTTGGGCTGGAATTTGGGGGTTTTGGGCTGGATTTTTTTGGGATTTTGGGCCTGAATTTTTTGGGATTTTGGGTTGGAATTTGGGGTTTTTGGGCCTGAATTTTTTGGGATTTTGGGCTGGAATTTGGGGGTTTGGGGCCAGAATTTTTTGGGATTTTGGGCTGGAATTTGGGATTTTGGGCCGGAATTTGGGGTTTTGGGCCGGATTTTTTGGGGATTTTTTGGTTTTTTTTTATTTTTTGGGATTTTGGGTGGAATTTTGGGATTTTTTGGGGTTTCCAGGAGCGGGACGGGTCCCACGTGGAGGTGGAGCCTCTCTGTGTCCTGGATTTGGGCTGGAATTTGGGGATTTTGGGCCGGAATTTTGGGGTTTTGGGCTGGAATTTTTTGGTTTTTTTGGGGATTTTTTGGGATTTGGGGTGGAATTTTGGGATTTTTGGGGTTTCCAGGAGCGGGACGGGTCCCATGTGGAGGTGGAGCCTCTCTGTGTCCTGGATTTGGGCTGGAATTTGGGGATTTTGGCCGGAATTTTGGGGTTTTGGGGGATTTTGGGCTGGAATTTTTTGGTTTTTTTGGGGATTTTGGGTGGAATTTTGGGATTTTTTGGGGTTTCCAGGAGCGGGATGGGTCCCACGTGGAGGTGGAGCCTCTCTGTGTTTTGGATTTTTACATCCACGAGTCCCAACAGCGCCGGGGGCTGGGCCGGGAGCTCTTCCGGGAGATGCTGCAGGTTTGGGGGGAAAAAACGGCGAAATTGGGCAAAAATGGGGTTTGGGGGAGGGAAAAAATGGAATTTTGGGGGGGGAAAATGGAAATTTGAGAGGAAAAAATGGGGGTTTGGGGGGGAAAATGGAGATTTGGGAGGGAAAATATGGGGTTTTGGGGAGGGAAAAATGGAAATTTGGCAGGAAAAAATGGGATTTTGGGGAGGGAAAAAAATGGGATTTTGTGGGGGGAAATGGGGTTTTGGGGGGAAAAATGGGATTTTTGGGGAGGGAAAAAAAATGGGATTTTAGGGGGAAATGGGAATTTTGTGAGGGGAAATGGGAATTCTAAGGTGGGAAATGGGAATTTTAAGAGGGAAATTGGAATTTTGTGAGGGGAAATGAGAATTTTAAAAGGTGAAATGAGAATTTTGTGAGGGGAAATGGGAATTTTAGGGTGGGAAATGAGAATTTTGTGAGGGGAAATGAGAATTTTAAGGTGGGAATTGAGAATTTTGTGAGGAGAAATGAGAATTTGTGAGGGGGAAATGAGAATTTTAAGGTGAGAATTGAGAATTTTGTGAGGGGAAATGGGAATTTTAAGGTGGGAATTGAGAATTTTGTGAGGAGAAATGAGAATTTTGTGAGGGGGAAATGGGAATTTTAAGGGGGGAAATGGGAATTTTAAGATGAGAATTTTGTGAGGGGAAATGAGAATTTTGTGAGGGGGAAATGGGAATTTTAAGGTGGGACATGGGAATTTTGAGGTGGGAAATGGGAATTTTGTGAGGGGAAATGAGAATTTTAAGAGGGAAAATGGGAATTTTGTGAGGGGAAATGGGAATTTTGAGGTGGGAAATGAGAATTTTGTGAGGGGAAATTGGAATTTTAAGGTGGAAAATGGGGATTTTAAGGCGGGAAATGAGAATTTTGTGAGGGGAAATGGGAATTTTAAGGTGGAAATGAGAATTTTGAGGCGGGAAATGGGAATTTTAAGGTGGAAAATGGGGATTTTAAGGTGGGAAATTAGATTTTTAAGGTGGGAAATGGGAATTTTGAGGTGGAAAATGGGAATTTTAAGGTCTAAAATGGGAATTTTGAGGCGGGAAATGAGAATTTTAAGGTGGGAAATGAGAATTTTGTGAGGGAAAATGGGAATTTTAAGGTGGGAAATGGGAATTTTGTGAGGGGAAATGAGACTGTTAAGGTGGGAAATGAGAATTTTGTGAGGGGAAATTGGAATTTTAAGATGGAAAATGAGAATTTTAAGGTGGGAAATGAGAATTTTAAGGTGGGAAATTGGAATTTTAAGGTGGGAAATGGGGATTTTAAGGCGGGAAATGAGAATTTTGTGAGGGGAAATGAGAATTTTGTGAGGGGGAAATGGGAATTTTTTGAGGGGAAATGAGAATTTTAAGAGGGAAAATGAGAATTTTGTGAGGGTAAATGAGAATTTTGTGAGGGGAAATTGGAATTTTTTGAGGGGAAATGAGAATTTTGTGAGGGGAAATTGGAATTTTTTGAGGGGAAATGAGAATTTTGTGAGGGGAAATTGGAATTTTAAGAGGGAAAATGAGAATTTTAAGACGGAAAATGGGAATTTTAAGATGGAAAATGGGAATTTGGAGGTGGAAAATGAGATTTTTGAGGTGGAAAATGAGAATTTGGGTTCCTGCCCCCAAAATCCCCAAATTGCAGCGGGAGCGGGTGCAGCCCCACAAGTTGGCCGTGGACAGACCCTCGGAGAAGCTCCTGGGCTTCCTCAGGAAACATTTCGGGCTCTGCGACCTCATCCCACAGGTGGGCTGGAAATGGGAATATTTGCATTTTTTGGGGTTTTTTTGGGGTTTTTTTGGGGGGTTTTATTGGGGTTTTTTTGGGTTTTTTTAGGGGTTTTTTTTGGGTTTTTTTGGGGGTTTTATTGGGGTTTTATTGGGGTTTTATTGGGTATTTATTCTGGTTTTATTGGGGATTTATTGGGCCTTTATTGGGGTTTTTTTGGGTTTTTTTTTCGGGTTTTATTTGGGGCTTTTTTCGGGTTTTATTTGGGGTTTTTGGGGTTTTTTTTGGGTTTTATTGGGTTTTTTGGGAGTTTTATTGGGGGTTTTATTGGGGTTTTAATGGGGTTTTTATTGGGGGTTTTTTGGGTTTTATTGAGGTTTTATTGGGGTTTTATTGAGGTTTTATTGGGGGTTTTATCGGGGCTTTATTGGGGTTTTATTGAGGTTTTATTGGGGTTTTTATTGGGGTTTTAATGGGGTTTTTATTGGGGTTTTATTGGGGGTTTTTTTGGGGTTTTATTGGGTTTTTTTGGGGGTTTTTATCGGGGGTTTTATTGGGGTTTTTTGGGGGGGTTTTTTGGGGTTTTTTTGGGGGTTTTATTGGGCTAGGTTGGGTAATTTAAGGGTTTGGGTTTAAATGATGGGGTTTTGGTTAAATATTTATATTTATTTTATTTTAATTTTATTTTTTACTTTATTTTTAATGTTATGGTTGTGTGTTCATTATTTTGTTATTTTAAATTTTTTTAATACTTTTATTTTTATATATTTTAGTGATTTTTATACTTGTATTTATTTTATATTTACAGCTATTTATTCTACTCAATACTTATTTATATTTATATTTTAGCCTTATTTATTTGTATATTTATTTATTATAAAATTTAATATTTATTTATATTTACATTTTAAATTTATTACTTAATTTTATATTTATTTTTGCTTAATAATATATTTATTATTTAATTTTATATTTATGATTGCATTTGTTCACATTTATATTTATAATTATATTGTTTATATATGTTTATATTTATAATTATTGAGGCTTTTTACCCATTTCTTCATTATTTTTAATTTTTGCTTTATTTTATTTTTATTTATTAGCGTAAATGGGAATCAGGGAAATCAGGTTTTAAACCCTGCAGGGCATTTTTGCATTTCCCCCTCTCCAGGTGAACAATTTTGTCATTTTTGAGGGATTTTTCTCCACCAGAACAGGTGAGGCTGGGCTGGAATTCTCCTCCTCTCCCGGGTTTGGGGTCAATTCCTGAATTTCCTGGAGTTTGGGTGGATTTTGGGTGAATTTGGGGTGAATTTTGAGGTGATTTTGGGGTGAATTTTGGGTGAGTTTGAGGTGAATTTTGGGGTGAATTTGAGGTGAATTCTGGCTGAATTTTAGGGGGAATTTGTGGTGATTTTAGGGGTGAATTTTCGGTGAATTTGTGGTGATTTTGGGCTGAATTTGGGGTGAATTTTGGCTGAATTTGGGATTAATTTTTGGTGAATTTTGGGGTGAATTTTGGGGTGAATTATGAGAGAATTTGAGGTGAATTTTGGGGTGAATTTTGGGTGGATTTGGGATGAATTCGGGATGAATTTTGGGGTGAATTATGAGAGAATTTGAGGTGAATTTTGGGGTGAATTTGAGGTGAATTTAGGATGAATTTGGGCTCAATTTGAGGTAAATTTGAGGTGAATTTTGGGGGGAATTCTGGGTGGATTTGGGGTGAATTTTGGGTGAATTTGGGGTGAGTTTGAGGAATTCTGGCTGAATTTTAGGGGGAATTTGTGGTGATTTTGGGGATGAATTTGGGGTGAACTTTCGGTGAATTTGTGGTGATTTTGGGGTGAATTCTGCGGTGAATTATGAGAGAATTTGAGGTGAATTTTGGGTGAATTTCGTGGTGATTTTGAGGTGAATTTGTGGTGATTTTGGGCTGCATTTTGGGTGCTTTTGGGCTGCATTTTGGGTGAATTTGTGGTGATTTTGGGGGTAAATTCTGGCTGTATTTTGGGTGAATTTTGGGTGATTTTGGGCTGCATTTTGGGTGAATTTTGGGCTGAACTTTGGGTGAATTTTGGGTGATTTTGGGGGTAAATTCTTGCTAAATTTGTGGTGATTTTGGGCTGAATTCTGGGTGCATTTTGGGTGAATTTTTGGCTGCATTTTGGGTGATTTTGGGCTGCATTTTGGGTGAATTTGAGGTGAATTCTGGCTGAATTTTGGGTGAGTTTGGGCTGCATTTTGGGTGAATTTTGGGCTGCATTTTGGGTGAATTTTGGGTGATTTTGGGGTAAATTCTGGCTGAATATTGGGCTGCATTTTGGGTGATTTTGGGCTGAACTTTGGGTGAATTTTGGGTGATTTTGGGCTCCTCTCCGCAGCCCCGGCCCGGCGCCCGTTCCCGCGGCCCCGCCCCGAGGAGCCGATCAAGCCGTACTCGCTGAGCGAGCGCCACTGTGAGCGGGGGCGTGGTCAGGGGGCGGGGCCGGGGGCGTGGTCACTGGGTGTGGTCTGTGGGTGTGGCCATTAGGTGTGTGGGTGTGGTCAGTGGGCGTGTCCCTCTTTGTAGCCCCACCCCTGATGCCCCCACCCATGGCCAGTGGGTGTGAGCAATGTCTGTGGGTGTGGTCATTGTGTGTGGCCCCGCCCCCTGCCGTTAGCCCCGCCCCCGTGCAGTGAATATGACCAATGAGGTCTGGTGGGTGTGGTCACTCTGCATAGCCCCGCCCCCGTGCAGTGACTGTGAATAATGAGGGCTGGTGGGTGTGGTTGCTGTGCATAGCCCCGCCCCCTGCCGTTAGCCCCGCCCCCAAGCAGTGACTGATCAATAGCAGCTGGTGGGTGTGGTCACTGCATGGCCCCGCCCCCTTCCGTTAGCCCTGCCCTCGTGCAGTGACTGTGATCAATGAGGGCTGGTGGATGTGGTCATTGTGCGTGGCCCCGCCCCATGCATTGACTGTTATCAATGAGGGCTGGTGGGTGTGGTCATTTTGCTTGGCCCCGCCCCCAGGTAGTGACTGATCAATGAGGGCTGGTGGGTGTGGTCATTGTGCATAGCCCCGCCCCCGTGCAGTGACTGATCAATGGTGTGTGGGTGTGGTCACTGCGCGTGGCCCCGCCCCCAAGCTGTGTCTGATCAATGAGGGCTGGTGGGTGTGGTCACTGCGCGTGGCCCCGCCCCCAGTCAGTGACTGATCCATGGGTGTGTGGGTGTGGTCACTGTGCGTGGCCCCGCCCCCAGGCAGTGACTGATCCATGGGTGTGTGGGTGTGGTCACTGCGCGTGGCCCCGCCCCCTGACCCTGGCCCCGCCCCCTCAGTCCTGCGCGAGGAGCCCGAGCCCCCCTGGCCCTTTAACCTGGGCCGGGGGTCCCCGGTGCGGGGCAGCCTCCGCCCCTTCCTGGTGCGCCGGGAAACCCCCCCGGGGACCCCCCCGGGAACCCCCCCGGGAACAGAGACCCCCCCGGAGCCGCCCCCGCGCCGAGCCAGGTACGCACCGGAAATGGGGGCGGGGAAATTGGGGGGCGGGAATGGGGGGAAATGAGGGGAGAAATGGGGGGGAAAATTGGGGAAATGGGTGGGTAAATGGGGGAGAAAATTGGGGGGGAATGGGGGGGAAATGGGGGCAAATGAGGGGGGAAATGGTGGGAATGGGGGGGGAATGGGTGGGGGGAAATTGGGGAGGAAATGGGGGGGGATGGGGGGGAAAATGGGGGAAAAATTGGGGGGGAATGGGGAGAGAAATTGGGGGGGAATGGAGAGGAAATAGGGGAAAAATGGGGGAAAAAATTGGGGGGAAATTGGGGAGGAAATGGGGGAATGGGGGGGGAAATGGGGGAAAATGGGGGGAGGAAATGGAGGGGGAAATGTGGGAAATGTGTGGGGGAAAATGGGGGAGGGAAATGGGGGAAAAAGGGGGGGAATGGGTGGGGAAATGGGGGGAAATGAGGGAAACTGGGGGGGAAATGGGGGGGGAAATAGGGGGAAAATGGGGGGGAAACTTGGGGGAGAAATGGGGGAAAAAGGGGGGGAAATGGGGAGGGAAATGTGGGGAAAATGCGAAGGAAATGGGGGGAAATGCAGGGGAATGGGGGGGAAATTGGGGGGAGGAAATGGAGGGGAAATGGGTGGAGAAATGGGGGGAAAATGGGGGGGTAAATGGGGGAAATTGGGGGGGAAATGCGGGAGAAATAGGGGAAAATGGGGGGAGAAATGGGGGGAAACTGGAGGGAAATGGGGGGGGAAATGTGTGGGGAAATGGGGGGGAAATTGTGGAGGAAATGGGGAAAATGGGGGGGGGGAAATTGGGGGGAATGGGGGGGAAATGGGGGGTACCTGGGGACACCTTGGGGTCACTTTGGGCTGGGTTTGGGTTTAGTTTGGGCTCATTTAGGGATGGATTTGGGCTGGATTTTGGGCTCAGTTTTAGGGACTTTGTGTTCAGTTTTAGGGATTTTGAGCTCAATTTTATGATTGAGTTTGGGCTGGATTTTGGGCTCAGTTTTTGGGACTTTGGGCTCCGTTTTGGGGATTTTGGGCTCAATTTTATGATTGAGTTTGGGCTGGATTTTGGGCTCACTTTTAGGGATTTTGGGCTCAGTCTCAGGCTCAGTTTGAGGTGTTTCCCCCTCCCCCCACAGCTCCCTGGGGCGCGTCGGCCGCTGACCCCCCCAAAATCCAACCACTGACCCCCAATTCTGGCCACTGACCCCCAAAATCCAACCACTGACCCCCAATTGTGGCCACTGACCCCCAACTGTGGCCACTGAACCCCCCAATTCTGGCCAGTGACCCCCAACTGTGGCCACTGACCCCCCCCCAGCTCCATGGACTCAACTGGAACCAGTTCCCACCCCATAACCCAACTGGGAATGGATTCCTGCCCCACTCGGACCAGTTCCCACCCCATAACCCAACTGGGAACCAGTTCCTGCCATACTGGGACCCAGTTTCTGCCCCATAACCCAACTGGGAACCAGTTCCCACCCCACAGCCTTACTGGGAACCAGTTTCCACCCAACTGGGACCAGTTCCTGCCCCATAACCCCACTGGGACCAGTTCTTATCCCACTGGAAGCCTCACTGGAAACCAGTTCCCACCCCATAACCCAACTGGGAACCAGTTCCTGCTATACTGGGACCAGTTCCCACCCTGTAACCCCGCTGGGAATGGATTCCTGCCCCACTGGAACCAGTTTCCACCCCATAACCCAACTGGGAACCAGTTTCCACCCAACTGGGACCAGTTCCTGCCCCATAACCCAACTGGGAACCAGTTCCTGCCCTACTGGGAACCTGTTCCCACCCCATAACCCAACTGGGAACCCATTCCTGCTATACTGGGAACCAGTTCCCACCTTACTGGGACCAGTTCCCGCCCACTGGGCCCCTCCTCCCTGCCCCGTGGGTGCCCCTCCCCCCGCCCGGCCCCGGGGGGTGCCTTCCCCTCCCGCCCCCCGCTCGTTTTTTTGGGGACATTTCAATAAAATCGGCGATTTTGGCTCCTTCTTGACGTCTCTTCCGGGTGTGGGCGTGTTTTTTTTTGCAATTTTACCCATATATGGTCATGGTTCCACCTCCGAGCGTAGGAGCGGCGCTTCCTATTGGCTCGCATCTCTTGGCTCCGCCCCTTTTCTACCTCATGAATGAACTACGGGTGGGCGGGACCGGCGCGGCGTCACCGCGCATGCGCAACCGGCTCCGGGTCACCTTCCCGCGTTCTGCGCAGGCGCGTTGCGGTGAGGCGGGGGGGGAAAGGGGGGGGGTGAAGCGCGCGCGCGGCCCGCGCAGGCGCAGAGCGAGCGGCCGCCGTGAGGGGAGAAAAGCGGCGGCGGCGGCGGCAGCGCCGAGCGGGGACAGCGAAGGGACAGCGAGGGGACACCGGGGCCGCCATGTACCGGCACGTCACCGCCACCGTCACCGCCGCCGTCCGCCTCCGGCCCGGCCGCGCCTGGGCTCCGGCAGCCGCGGCAGCGCCTCCTGGGCCGGCCCCGCCGCGCCGCCGCTACCGAGCGCGGCCGCAGGTGAGGGGAGAGCGCTGAGGGGGGGACACACGGGGGGCGGGGTTATGCAAATAGAGCCGCAGAGTGGGTGGGGTTATGTAAATAGAGAGGGTTGTGGGTGGTGGGGATGGGCGGGGTTATGCAAATGAAGGCGCGGGTTGTTTTGGGAAGAGTTATGCAAATAAAAAGCGGTGGGTAGGCGGGGCATGCAATTAAAGGGGCGTGTGCGAGATTAAGGCTGGGCGCGGTTATGCAAATCGCATCCTTAAATACTTTCGGTTTGCCGTTAACGGGGCGTGGCTATGCAAATTAGACTCCTTAAATAGTTTCGCTTTTGCCGCTAGCGGGGCGTGGTTATGCAAATCAAGGGCGGGTTCCTGTTTGGGCGGGGCCTCCTTCTGGGGGCGGAGCCGGGGGTTCCTGGTGGGAACCAAATGGGGCAAATCCCCCCCAAAATGGGGTAAATCTCTCCAAAACCGGGAAAAATCCCCATTTTCCGTGTGGCAAATCCTCCTAAAAAGGTGCCAAATCCCCCCAAAAATGGAGTTAATCTCTCGAAAATCGGGAAAAATCCCCATTTTCCATGGGGCAAACCCCCCTCCAATGACCCACTCCCAGCCCCGGGTGCTCCCTCACTGCCCCAGCCCCAAATTCCCCTTTATTTTCCCCCAAATCCCCTTTTCCCCCCCCAATTTTCCCCTTTTCCCCCCCCAATTTCCAGGACCTGGAGCCCCCCCTGGTTCCGGGCCCGGCCCTGGCTCTGCTGCCCCCCCCGCGCTGCCCCCCCCGGCCCCCCGGGACCCCTCCCCGGGGGCTGCAGGGGCTCGGGGGGGCTCCGGTGACCACGGTGGACGGGAGGAGCCAGGACGACATCGACGTCCGGGACCCGCCCCGGCCCGGCCCCTTCGGGGGGCGGCGGCTGCTGCTGGGCCCCGCCCCCAGCCCCGCCCCCTCCCCGGGGACCCCGCCCCCAAAGGGCAGCGGGGGGAGCCCCCCCCAGAGCCCCCCCCCGTCCATGGAGGAGCACCTGGCCAGCATGCACGAGAGGCTGCGGCACGAGGTGACACCGGCGGGGACAATGGGGGGACAATGGGGACAAGGGGGGGACAATGGGGGGGACAATGGGGGGGACAATGGGGGGACAATGGGGACAGGGGGGGACAATGGGGACGGGGGGTAACACGGGGAGGGGGGGACAATGGGGACGGGGGGACAATGGGGACACAATGGGGACGGGTAACACGGGGAGGGGGGGCACAAAATGGGGAGGGGGACAATGGGGACGGGGGGGATAATGGGGACAGGGGTAACATGGGGGGGACACAATGGGGACAGGGGTAACACGGGGGGGACAATGGGGACGGGGGGACAATGGGGACAGGGGTAACACGGGGAGGGGGGGACAAAATGGAGGGGGGACAATGGGGACGGGGGGTAACATGGGAGGGACAATGGGGACAGGGGGAACATGGGGAGGGGGACACAAAATGGGGGTGGGGGGGGACAAAATGGGGAGGGGGACAGAATGGGCAGGGGGTGACAAAAAGGCCCAGGGAGGGGGGGGACAAAATGGGGAGGGGGGTGACAGCATTGGGGACACTGGGGAGGAGGTGATGAAATGGGGAGGGGGTGACAGAATGGGGGGGGGTGACAGAATGGGGGGGTGACAGCACTGGGGAGGAGGTGACAAAATGGAGGAGAGGGTGACAAAACTGTGGGGGATTGACAGGAAAAGGGGGAGGTGACAGCAGCCAGGGGGAGGTGACAGCGCCCAGGGGAGGTGACAGCGCCCAGGGGAGGTGACAGCGCCCAGGGGGAGGTGACAACAACCCCAGTGACCCCCCCGTGTCCCCCCCAGCTCCCCAATTTCTTCCTGAAGATCCCGGACTATGCCCTGTACGCCCCCGACGTGGAGTTCCAGTGCCAGCACCTGCACCTGCACACGCGGTGGGTGACACTGGGGACACTGGGGGGACACCGGGGGGACACTGGGGGGGACACTGGGGACACCAGGGACAGCCTTGGGGACAGCCCTGAGGACAGCCATGGACACCTGCGGGGTGGCACAGGGAGGTGACAATGGGTGACAATGACGCTGTCCCGTGTCCCCGTGTACGCCGTGGCCGTGGCGCTGTGCGGGGCAGTGACAGTGGGTGACAATGGCAGTGATGGGGTGGCACAGGGAGGTGTCAGGGTGGCACAGGGAGGTGACAATGGGTGACAATGGGTGACAATGCCACTCTCCCGTGTCCCCAGGGGCCGGGCCATGTACGCGTGGCGTGGCAATGGGTGACAATGGCAGTGTCAGGGTGTCACAGGGAGGTGACAATGGGTGACAATGGTGACAATGCCACTCTCCCGTGTCCCCAGGGGCCGGGCCATGTACGCCGTGGCCGTGGCGCTGTGCCGGGCCCTGGCCTGGGGTTACTTTGCCAGCCTCAGGCTGGAGGTGCTGGCGCTGACGCGGCACCCGGAGGATTGGAGCCTGCGGGCGCGGTGGCGCCTGACGGGGCTGCCCCTGCACCTGCTGCTGCTGCGCTGGTACCGCCGGGACAAACGGACACTGCTCAGGTACAGACACACCTGGGACACCCCTCATTGTCACCCCATTGTCACTGTGTCACCCCCTGCCATCCCTGTGTCACTGTGTCACCCCCTGTGTCACTGCCCCTGTGTCACTGCCCCTGTGTCACTGCCCCTGCACCTGCTGCTGCTGCGCTGGTACCGCCGGGACAAACGGACACTGCTCAGGTACGGACACACCCCATTGTCACTGTGTCACACCTGTGTCACCCCCTGTGCCATCCCTGTGTCACCCTGTGTCACTGCCCCTGTGTCACTGCCCCTGCACCTGCTGCTGCTGCGCTGGTACCGCCGGGACAAACGGACACTGCTCAGGTGAGGGACACACCCCATTGTCACTGTGTCACACCTGTGTCACACCTGTGTCACTCCCTGTGCCATCCCTGTGTCACTGCCCCCGTGTCACTGCCCCTGCACCTGCTGCTGCTGCGCTGGTACCGCCGGGACAAACGGACACTGCTCAGGTGAGGGACACACCTGTGTGTCACCTGTGTGACCCCCATTGTCACTGTGTCACCCCCTGTGCCATCCCTGTGTCACTGTGTCACCCCTGTGTCACTGCCCCTGTGTCACTGCCCCTGCACCTGCTGCTGCTGCGCTGGTACCGCCGGGACAAACGGACACTGCTCAGGTACGGACACACCTGTGTGACCCCCATTGTCACTGTGTCACACCTGTGTCACCCCTGTGTCACTGCCCCTGTGTCACTGCCCCTGTGTCACTGCCCCTGCACCTGCTGCTGCTGCGCTGGTACCGCCGGGACAAACGGACACTGCTCAGGTACGGACACACCTGGGACACCCCTCATTGTCACTGTGTCACACCTGTGTCACCCCCTGTGCCATCCCTGTGTCACTGTCCCTGTGTCACTGCCCCTGCCCCTGCACCTGCTGCTGCTGCGCTGGTACCGCCGGGATAAACGGACACTGCTCAGGTACAGACACACCTGTGTGTCACCTGTGTGACCCTCATTGTCACTGTGTCACCCTCATTGTCACTGTGTCACCCCTGTGTCACCCCCTGTGCCATCCCTGTGTCACTGCCCCTGTGTCACCCCTGTGTCACTGCCCCTGCACCTGCTGCTGCTGCGCTGGTACCGCCGGGACAAACGGACACTGCTCAGGTACAGACACACCCGGGACACACCTGGGACACCCCTCATTGTCACTGTGTCACCCCCCATTGTCACTGTGTCACCCCTGGTGTCACCCTCGTGTCACCTCTGCCATCCCTGTGTCCCCCTCTGTGTCACCCCCTCCTACCACCAGCACCTGCTGCTCTCAGTGACCCCCCTGAGTCACCCCCGTGTCACCCCCGAGGCGCTGGTGCCACCCCCGTGTCCCCAAGTGTCCCCTCAATGTCCCCCCAGGTCCTACGACGCCCTCTCCACCTTCTTCCTCAACCCCCAGGGGCTCATCCGCTGCCACCGCGTGGACAAGGTGAGTCTGGGGACACCTTGGGGACACCTTGAGGACACCTCGGTGACACTTTGGTGACACTTTGGTGACACTTTGGTGACACCTTGGTGTCCCCAGCTGATGCCAGCCCCCACGGCCGTCCCCGAGCCCAAGAAGCTGCTGGTGGCCGCGGCGCTGGCGGTGGCGCTGGCCCGGCCCTGAGGCCACCACGGAGGTGACAGCGACACCTGAGCGCCCCCCCCCCCCCTTTGTCACCTTTGTCACCTTTGTCCCCTCCCCTCCCTTAAATTAATGTACAGAATAAAGGAGCAGCGGTGACACGGGGACAGCGGCGTCCCCGAGCGTGGGGGGTGTATTGGGCTGGGCCCTGATGGTGTCCCCAATGTCCCCAATGTCCCCAAATGTCCCCAAATGTCCCCAATGTCCCCGGGGGCGGGGTCAGCCCAGCTCCTCCCGCGATTTCCCGGCTTTTTTGGGCATTTTGCGGCCGCTGCCGTCCTCGAGCTCCTTGGCCTGGTAATAATGGGGGGCGACCTCCAGCAGCCAGGAGCTGTCGATCTCGATCACCTGGGGACAAGGGACACACCTGTGACACCTGTGTGACACCTGTCACACACATGGGGACACCTGGGACACCTGTGTGATACCTGGGGACATCTATGACACCTGTCACACACATGGGGACACCTGTGTGGTACCTGGGGACATCCCTAATGACAGCCAGGAGCTGTCGATCTCGATCACCTGGGGACAAGGGACACACCTGTGACACCTGTGTGACACCTGTCACACACATGGGGACACCTGGGGACATCTATGACACCTGTCACACACCTGGGGACATCCCTAATGACAGCCAGGAGCTGTCGATCTCGATCACCTGGGGACAAGGGACACTTGTGACACACCTGGGGACACCTGGGGACATCTATGACACCTGTCACACACCTGGGGACATCCCTAATGACAGCCAGGAGCTGTCGATCTCGATCACCTGGGGACAAGGGACACACCTGTCACACACCTGGGGACACCTGGGACACACCTGGGGACACACCTGGGGACATCTATGAAGGTTAGGGTTAGGGTTAGGGACACCTGTCACACCTGGGGACACCCCTAAGGACAGCCAGGAGCTGTCGATCTCGATCACCTGGGGACAAGGCACACACCTGTGACACACCTGGGGACAAGGACACACCTGGGACACACCCGTGACACACCTGTCACACACCTGGGACACACCTGGGGACATGTGGGGATGGGGGTGATGGCTTGGGGTCACTGCTTTGTCACCTTGGAGGTGCGTCCCTTGTGTCCCCATACCCACACTGCCCTGTGTCCCCATGACCCCAAGGTGTCCCCAGAGTGTCCCCAGGTGTCCCCAGGTGTCCCCACCTGTCTCATGAACTCCTTGGAGGTGCACTCAGTGTGTCCCTGTACCCACCCTGTGTCCCCATAGCCACCCTGCCCTGTGTCCCCATGTCCCTGCCCTGTGTCCCCATGACCCCAAGGTGTCCCCATGACCCCGCACTGTCCCCAGGTGTCCCCATGTCCCCACCTGTCTCATGAACTCCTTGGAGGTGCACACCAGCTCACGGTGCAGCACCCAGCGTGTGCCCATACCCACCCTGTGTCCCTGTACCCACACAGTGTCCCCATAGCCACCCTGCCCTGTGTCCCCATGACCCCAGGGTGTCCCCATGACCCCACACTGTCCCCAAGGTGTCCCCATGTCCCCACCTGTCTCATGAACTCCTTGGAGGTGCACACCAGCTTGTGGTAGAGCACCCAGTGTGTCCCTGTACCCACACTGCCCTGTGTCCCCATGACCCCAGAGTGTCCCCAAGGTGTCCCCAGGTGTCCCCACCTGTCTCATGAACTCCTTGGAGGTGCACACCAGCTCACGGTGCAGCACCCAGCGTGTCCCTGTACCCACCCTGTGTCCCTGTACCCACCCTGTGTCCCCATAGCCCCACCCTGCCCTGTGTCCCCATGACCCCACACTGTCCCCAAGGTGTCCCCAGGGTGTCCCCATGTCCCCAAGGTGTCCCCACCTGTCTCATGAACTCCTTGGAGGTGCACACCAGCTCGTGGTAGAGCACCCAGCGTGTGCCTGTACCCACACTGCCCTGTGTCCCCATGACCCCAAGGTGTCCCCACAGTGTCCCCAGGTGTCCCCAGGTGTCCCCACCTGTCTCATGAACTCCTTGGAGGTGCACTCAGTGTGTCCCTGTACCCACCCTGTGTCCCCATAGCCACATTGCCCTGTGTCCCCATGACCCCACACTGTCCCCCAGGTGTCCCCAGGGTGTCCCCCAGGTGTCCCCACCTGTCTCATGAACTCCTTGGAGGTGCACACCAGCTCGTGGTAGAGCACTCAGCGTGTCCCTGTACCCACCCTCCCCTGTGTCCCCCTGTCCCTGCCCTGTGTCCCCATGACCCCACAGTGTCCCCACATTGTCCCCACACTGTCCCCAAGGTGTCCCCATGTCCCCACCTGTCTCATGAACTCCTTGGAGGTGCACACCAGCTCGTGGTAGAGCACCCAGCGTGTCCCTGTACCCACACAGTGTCCCTGTACCCACCCTGTGTCCCTGTACCCACCCTGCCCTGTGTCCCCATGACCCCACAGTGTCCCCAGGGTGTCCCCCAGGTGTCCCCATGTCCCCAAGGTGTCCCCACCTGTCTCATGAACTCCTTGGAGGTGCACACCAGCTCACGGTGCAGCACCCAGCGTGTGCCTGTACCCACACAGTGTCCCCATAGCCACCCTGCCCTGTGTCCCTGTACCCACCCTGCCCTGTGTCCCCATGACCCCACACTGTCCCCAGGTGTCCCCACACTGTCCCCAAGGTGTCCCCATGTCCCCACCTGTCTCATGAACTCCTTGGAGGTGCACACCAGCTCGTGGTAGAGCACCCAGCGGGGCTGCAGGGCGAACAGGGCGCTGTTGGGGTGGATGAACACCGGCTGCTGGTGCTTCACCGTGCGGTACCCGCCCCGCGCCAGCCGCGCCGTGTGGTAAAAGAACCCGGCTGTGATGGCCTGGGGGGACACAGAGAGGGGACAGTGGCACTGGGATACACTGGGAGGGCACTGGGATGGACTGGGAGGGCACTGGGAGGGCACTGGGAGGGCACTGGGAGGGACTGGGAGGGACTGGGATGCACTGGGATCGGTACCCGCCCCGCGCCAGCCGCGCCGTGTGGTAAAAGAACCCGGCTGTGATGGCCTGCGGGGACACAGAGAGGGGACAGTGGCACTGGGATGGCACTGGGAGGGCACTGGGATAAACTGGGAGGGACTGGGATAAACTGGGATGGACTGGGAGGGACTGGGATGCACTGGGATCGGTACCCGCCCCGCGCCAGCCGCGCCGTGTGGTAAAAGAACCCGGCTGTGATGGCCTGGGGGGACACAGAGAGGGGACAGTGGCACTGGGATGGCACTGGGAGGGACTGGGAGGGCACTGGGATGGACTGGGATGGACTGGGAGGGCACTGGAATCAGTGGATATTTTAGGGGGTGTTTGGGGGATATTTTAGGGGTATTTTGGGATATTTTGAGGTGTATTTGGGGTTTATTTTAGGGTGTATTTGGGGGATATTTTGGGGTGTATTTGGGGGTATTTTAAGGTGGATTTGGAGGACTTTTTGGGGGGTATTTTGTGAATATTTTGGGGGGTATTTTAGGATATTTTGAGGTGTATTTGGGGTTTATTTTGGGGGATATTTTGGGCTGTATTTAGGGTTTACCTTGCGCACCAGGTCCAGGTTGCCCCCGCAGGAGGACGGGGCTGAGGTGGATTTGGGGTTATTCCGTGGGACATTTTGTGAATATTTTGGGATATTTTGAGGTGTATTTGGGGACATTTTGGGGGACATTTTGGGGGATATTTTGGGCTTTACCTTCCTGACGAGGTCCAGGTTGCCCTGGCAGGAGGACAGGGCTGAGGCGTGATTTGGGATTATTTTGTGGGATATTTTGGGGGATATTTTGTGAATATTTTGGGGTATTTTGGGGGATATTTTGGGGGATATTTTGGGCTTTACCTTCCTGACGAGGTCCAGGTTGCCCTGGCAGGAGGACGGGGCTGGGGTGGATTTGGGCGATATTTTGGGGGATATTTTATGGATATTTGGGGATATTTTGGGGGCTGTTTTGGGGTGTATTTTGGGCTGTATTTGGGCTTTACCTTCCTGACGAGGTCCAGGTTGCCCTGGCAGGAGGACGGGGCTGAGGCGTGATTTGGGGTTATTTTGGGGGATATTTTGGGGGATATTTTGTGAATATTTTGGGATATTTTGGGGGATATTTTGGGGGATATTTTGGGCTTTACCTTCCTGACGAGGTCCAGGTTGCCCTGGCAGGAGGACGGGGCGATCTCCACGCGCTCCATCAGCCCCTGCAGCTGCTCCCGCACGTCCCGGGCGCGGCGCAGGGAGCGCGCCTGGACAAAGTGCTCGTAGCACCACTGCAGGGAGTGACCGCTGGCCACCCACTGGAGGGGACACGGGGGACACAGGGGGGACACGAGGGGGACACAGGGGACACGGGGGACACGGGGGGGACACAATGGGACAGCACAGACAGGGGCACAAGAGGGACGAGGACAGCAGGACAGGGACACACCAAGGGACACAAAGGTCAGTGCTGCTGCCGGAGGTGGCCCCAGCCCCACGATGTCCCCAAGGTGTCCCCAAGGTGTCCCCGTACCTGGTTGTAGACGTTGAGCAGCACCAGGTGGTCGCCCCCGGGCACGCTGAAGGCCACGCGGGCGCTGTCGGCGTGGAGCACCTTGTCCTTGGGCCGGTAGAAAACGGCGTTGTTCACCGAGAGCATGGCTGCCACCGTGAGAACCTCCTCTGTGCAGCCATACCTGTGACATTGGGGACATTGGGGACACTGTCAGCACCTCCTCTGTGCAGCCATACCTGTGACATTGGGGACATTGGGGACACTCAGGGGACATTGGGGACATTGGGGACATGGCGTTGTTCACCGAGAGCATGGCTGCCACCGTGAGAACCTCCTCTGTGCAGCCATACCTGATTGGGGACATTGGGGACACTGAGGGGACATTGGGGACACTGGGGACACTGTCAGCACCTCCTCTGTGCAGCCATAACTGAGATATTGGGGACATTGGGGACACGGCGTTGTTCACCGAGAGCATGGCTGCCACTGTGAGCATCTCCTCAGTACACCCATATCTGTGACATTGGGGACATTGGGGACACTGAGGGGACATTGGGGACATTGGGGACACGGCGTTGTTCACCGAGAGCATGGCTGCCACTGTGAGAACCTCCTCTGTGCAGCC